ATTAGGCCATATGTTAAGTCCATACGTGTATTACTGGCCTCATTTGTTACTTCTCCAATTCCATGAGTTCAATCTATTCCCTGGAAAAGCGTCCAATAAAGAAAAAAATACCAGTCGTGATCCCATTTCATATTGTCACAGAGCTGAAATGATGGGAAAACTCTGAAGTCACGTACAAAAGTTTGTAATTCTTTGTTGCTGTGCTTGTCAAGATCTCATTGTGAATTCAGGCAGGCAGTTCAGCACCTGTCTGGACAACTAAGCAATACAGGGATACTCCCCAGAAGGCAGAGGGCTTAACACCACTGACATGAAGTTCAGAGTAATCAGTCTATCCTAAGTTATCTCCCTGTAGGTTTCCTCAGAAACCTTACAACAGAGGAGCCCAGAGTCCTTGTGAAGTTGATTCTCAGCACAGACAATCAACAAAGCGTGCAACTGACTGCTTGCTACGAGCGCTTCAGCCTTTGAATCTAGCAAAATTCCTACAAGGTAAACTCAGGAGTTAGGTTTTTGAATCGTGGAAAACAAGTGGCTTATTTCCTTAGCAGTTTCCCAACTTCAAAGCAATTGCTGCCAGTCTCATAGAAGTAAGGTCTATGGAGTAAAAGCAGCACGTGATGATTGCTAAAATAAAGAACCAAGCAGGTGAGCTTACAGGGTTTTTTTAACAGATACTTTCCTTTTAGTAGTCTTCAATGCCTTGTCACCAGTTCCTCTAGCGACTATACTCTTCAGAGCTCTACACTGGCAGAAACACCAAATATGTCCATCAAAACCACACGCGTCCCTCAAGTCTTCAGCCCTGCTACTTGACTTGGTCTAGATTCAATATCAGGGCAGCACTCCTTCAGATCTTGCTTGCATTAGCCCTGTTGCGGTTGAGCTCCCTCCCCACATTTGGAGAAATTCCTGATGAAGAGCTCAAGGAAACTCACCAGATACTCTTTTAATTTAAAATAGTTCTCCATATGGACAGCACATAATTATCTGTATCTGCTCCATGTCTCAGTACTGAAGATCCCAGCTTGTCATTCGTACTTGAGGCATGTCACAGTCAGTTCAGTGAAGCTGCCGTTCAGAGCAATTTCAACCTGCCATGTGCCTTCGGAGTCATCCTTAGTATCCGGGTTTCGGCTGGGGCAGCTAATTTTCTTCCTAGTAGCTAGTACAGTGCTGTGTTTTGGATTTAGTATGAGAAGAATGTTGATAACGCACTGATGTTTTAGCTGTTGCTGGGTAGTGCTTAGACTGGCCAAGGACTTCTCAGCTTCTCCTGCTCTGCCAGGTGCACAAGAAGCTGGGAGGAGACACAGCCAGGACAGCTGACCCAAGCTGACCAAAGGGCTATTCCATACCATATGACATAATGCTCAGTATATAAGCTGGGGGAAGAAGAAGGAAGGGGGAAGACGTTCGGAGTGATGGCATTTGTCTTCCCAAGTCACTGTTACGCGTGATGGAGCCCTGCTTTCCTGGGGATGGCTGCTGAACACCTGCCTGCCAATGGGAAGTAGGGAATGAATTCCTTGCTTTGCTTTGCTTGAGTGCACGGCTTTTGCTTTACCTATTAAACTGTCTTTATCTCAACCCATGAGTTTTCTCACTTTTACCCTTCCGATTCTCTCCCCCATCCCATTGTGGGGGGAGTGAGCAAGTGGCTGCGTGGTGCTGAGCTGCCAACTGGGGTTAAACCACGACACTTAGTCTTTTTTTTCTTTCTTTCTTCTTTTTTTAAACTTCTTAGTGTGAAAGTTTCTGAAGGGCAATATTCTATTCATGGCTGTTGAAAATGATCTGCTTTTGCAGGAATTCTCTCTAAATGCTCCTTACAACGTTTTCCTTTGATGCTAGGTCTTACCGGATCACCCACTTCACCCAGAAGAGTTAGCAAGCTCTGTGCACTTTGACTCAATCTACTTATACAGCCTTTCGGAGAGGGGAAAAAGGGCCAATACCTCTGCCTAACTCAGTTAGCCTGTGTTCTGTTAACCATGACACGGAAGAATTGTATGTAGTTTGTGACTTCATGAATTTTGCTTTACTATATTGACAGGTCTACATTATTTATGGGAGTGTAGGAAGGGTGGAAATCTAAAGCTTAAAGGCTACCGTATCACAAAAATATACTCAATTGTTTTGATATCTGGATGGGCTTAGAATTTATACTAGTGTATTAACCGCCATGATGATTGTGCGCAAAAAACATCCTCTAGAACATTCCCAAAGCAGCCTGTATCACCTTCTCAAGGAGGCTGTAAAACTACTCAAAGAATTCTGAGGTGGCCTTTGGATCACACCTCGGACTGAAAAAAAAAAACCAAACCAACCGCAGTTCCCAAGCTAAGGAGATCAGTAAAGCAGCTCCAGGGAAACAGCCCTGCCAGGGACCTACACCAGGATCTGTTTGGGCACGTACACGAAGAACAAGTTACTCACTGTAGAATAATTGTACTTCTCAAGGGTGAAATTATACTTCAGATCTCACGAGCTGCTCTGTATCCCTGCTCCTGGCAATCCTCAGCTGTCACCAGCTTGAGAAGAAACTGAGGTCATGCTGAGCTCACACTCTCGTTTGCACAGAGCGTGAGGAAATGGTGTCAGTGCACAGCTCTGGTGGACACTGTCACTTAAAAACCAACTCCTAAGCCTCGCCTCATCTGCTTGTGCAAGTACAGTGGCAGCTACACTGACACTACTCCTTCAGAGAGACAAATTTCTGGTCTGCAACCACTTCACCTATGGTTTCAGTGGCATGGGTATTGATTTATATGAGGCACTTTATAGCCAAACAGATTATTTTTTAGGGGTTAAAAGTGGAACAGCCTTGAATCAAAGGGGTAAAAAACCCTACATTCCCCAATTTACACTCAGATATTACCTATGATCTCGCTATCAACTCTCCCAATAAACAATGATACTGCTGCAAGATTAGATTACAATATTAATCTCAATTAACAAGATTTACTAATTTCTCACATACCATTTGTTTATTTTGGAAATCATGGAGGAATAATTTTACTAGTTCTGGTCAGGCATGCAAGTGTTTTAAAAAAAAGGATTTACTCCTTTCACAAACATACATACAACTTCAGAAACAGAAGAGATCGTTTAGAAGTCACCTGTTAATCAGGTATTAGCAGTACGTTTTTTCCCACGCTGTTTTGGAATTATGCCCTAGAAAGTAATCACTACGAGTGCAACAGAAGTCAACGTAATCCTTAGATTTGCCAACCCCAGGAGTAAACAATTAGTCCTAATGCAAGGGCTTTGCAAAGCAGCAGGAGCCAGACTGAGCCAACCAAAGGGTCCGGTGGGAAAACAGTAGTCAGGCAGCAGACACTGCGTCCCAGCAGCAGCCTGAGCTAGATCCAAGCAAACAGCCCAAGTTCGATAGTGTCCTGGTAATAAATGGAAAGCACTGGCTTGACTTTCCAAACCCAAAATAAAAACCGCTTTACAAGAAGAATAGCGTTCCGATTCCCTGCTTTCCAAACTAGCAACCAGACTCTCTCCTTCCCACTCCTAACACAGTAACAGGAGTCACAGAGACAAATCTTCCAGTATTGCCCAGAGATACTGGCCTCTGCTGCTTGCACAACTGCAGTTTACCTCTTTTTTTTTTCCAAGGCAGTGTTGCTCCCACGCCCTGCAGAATTCCAGCAGGAGGAGAGGAGAGCGCTAACAGATGCAAAAGACTGCACACACCTCCATCCTGGCTCCACTGCTGCAGTCAGCAACGAGTGTCCATGAAAGGCCTTTAGTTACTGCAAACGTATTTTCTGAGCTTGTGCAAGGATGTGATTTTATGAGAGTTTCAAATGTAGAACCTTGGGGTTAGGGTTAGAAAGATCCAAAATGTTAAATAAAAAAAAAAAAAAAAAATTACATTCAGAGTAGACAATGGGTAACAGGATTTTGCAGCTGCTGGCTTACTAGAGACCTGAGATAGTTCAAAGTTTCCAAACTAAGAAGGGAACGGGCTAGCTCAGCTGACTTCAAATGCAGGGAAGAAAACAAAAATATAACGTTGGTGAATATGGCAGGGTAGAGAAGAAGTTAAGGCTAGGAGAAACAGAGGCAGCAAAGAAATAAATACTGGTATTTAGTTCTTCCATTGTACCATGCCTTGAATTTTCTTATTTTGAAAGCAAAAGGAGGCAGCTACTCTTGACCCTTATTTCCTGCATCCCTCCTGCTGTCTGCAAAAATAATTGTCATTTCCAGCATCTTGTCTTTGGAAGCCAAGAAGGACCTTATTTTAAGAAAGACATAGTGAGGGGAAAAGTATCCTTCTTGTATGTTCAGTATTCAGATGTAGGACTTGGGTACGTATTGAGCAACACTTGAGCAGATTTGGACATACAAATAGTTAGAAATAGGAGTTATTTCATTCCCCACAATTTTAAGTTAGGCCCTTGCCTTTTCTGTGTGTTTTGGCTTTTTTCTTGCTGCTGTAAACCCTACTCCATCACATGGCAACAACTGGTGAGGTCTCATCCCTTTGTCTCCCACTGGGTGGAAAAGTAATGTATTTGGCAGCTTTTGCTCCTCCTAGGAGAAAAGAAAGGTGGACCTCAGGGAAATCCTCAGATTAGAGTGAGCCACTGCAGCTTCTGAAGCTCATCGCCCTAGAGATGGAACAACACGGAACATGGTTGCCCTACGGAACTGCTTGGTGATTTTTAGAATCATTGATAAATCCGTATGCATCGTCTTCCCTCCCCTGAATATGCCCACAAGTCCTCTGCTCTCTTAGGAATCTCCCTTCGTTCCTTCCTGTTCCATACATACAGATCTTGGAGGAAATCAAACAAGGTTTTCATTTCTATCTGTCTCATTTGTGTGAAATTGGATCATTTATCTATTGCCTCTTACTGTCTCTAAGATCAGCATTATAAACAGAGGACAGCAAGCTTACAAAAATGTCCATGGTGAAAATGGTTCAGTATCTAAGTCCAAATGGCAGGTGAGAAGCAAACAGGAAAGCTAGTCCAACATCAGAAGACAGCGTCTGGCAAGTATCGCTCTACATTTGTACAACAATGTGGCAATCTCAAAGAAGCTTCATTTTAAAGAAAAATCTTATACACTGAGTTGACAAAATAGCCTATAAAATCAAGTTTTCTTATTCTGAAAGAAGTTGCTTGAACCATGCCTTAAAGGTTTATAAGAAATTATTGTGCATTTCATGCAGCCAGGCTCCACAGACTACTGGCTAATAAGAACCATAGCACCTTTTAAACCTTCTTCTAATTTCTGGTAACTTCCTTCCACCTGCCATCTTTCTTTTAATTTTGTACTTATTGAATATAAGTTTCCAAACAGCACAGACCCAGTCCAGATCTACAGGATCACTTTAGAAGTGAAATTAGATTTGCTACCAGCAAGACAAGGCACTAGAAGTATGATTTCCAGCAGAAAACACAATTAGGCAGTCATTTAAAAAAACAGAGGTGGATAAAGTCCAAATACAAGTCTGTGCAGCTATCTCTTAATCATCAAATCAATGCCTTTCATTAACAGAACAGAGAATAACAGTCTCTTCTGAAGCCTCTTAAACTGTCTGCAAGTTAGTGCAACAGAGGTCATGCTTATGCCGAAGCCTAATGGTTATGCCGAAGCCTAATGGTTATGCCGAAGCCTAATGCCTTTGACAGTATTGGTAAGTGTTCAGAGCCACTCGGCGTACGTCTGTTCAAGTTACTAAAATCAGGATAAAACCCATTTCAGATCAGTTGTGGCAACCAGGTTTCTGTAACGTCAGCTTAGCCATCAAGTCTACTATGGATCCAAACGCTACTACTTTTCTTTGGCTATCATTAAATAGTAAATATTCAAAACATCACAAATCAGTAGAAGCCAGCATGTATCAAAGCCTCAGTAAAATAAACTCCACATCAAGCAAAGCGACACAGTTTCTATTAACTTTTGTAGTCAATATATGTGTTTGAGTTGACTCTTCATAATACCAAAAGCACCTTCGACAACTCACTACGCATGCTGATGAACATCCAAGGTTCACTCTCACCCTGATCCTAGGAGAAAATTATGTTGTGAGGGGTCTTGTTCTGGCAGGGAGCTGGGGTTTTGCAGGGATGTTAGAACAGATTTGCTACGGACACACCTAAGGAGAAAAAAAAACCCCAACAAAACCAAACCAACCAACCACAACCAAATCCAACAACTCCAATATAAAGTAAACAAAATTAGACAGACATTAAGGCTGTACAATTAATAGCAGAAAAAAAAATGAAAACACTTTGAAAGCACTCGTAACTTGGTTGCTTCATACATTCAGTACTGGTCTTGGCTCAGATTATAAACAGTCTCTAAATAAATAAAGATGAGTAAATTTCTAGCTTAGCATTAAGCATTTAAGCTTTTGAAATACAAATCTTCCAAAGGATTATTTTCAATTCTTCATGATATGACATGCAATCAAAATTAACTCCATATACTCCATTACACCCATCACTTTAAATAATGCATTAATGCTAGCACACTTTGAATTAAAGCCTTTCAATAAATACAGGAAGAAGTAAACCAGAGTTTTGCAGATGGGTTTTATGACTTCTTTTTAGGCTCAAAAGTTAGTATTACAGCCAATTTTTGAAACAAAGTACCACATGTAGCTGGTGGAAAAAGCACAGAGATAACATACTGACAACTACTGAAATTCATCTCTGACTATTGCCGCATTTTCAAAAGCCGAGTTCTTCCAAATGACACTATTCATACTTGCATATGACATGCATGCATTAAAATTTTGCTTTGAAATACATTTTGACCAATGTTTCAAACCACAGTTTGCAAGATAGCTTAAATGTCATGTGTGACTTGGTCAGCATTTTTCTACACCACCTTCTTGGTGACAACTTTGAAAAAAGATTCAGATCTCAGATTTTGGTCTCAAATATATAAAAACCCGTTTTAAAAATCTCTCAAATTCAAAGGTCCTATGTGTTTAATGAAATATTCAGAACAGGTATGAGGTCAAAAAAAAAAAACCTTTTCCATAAAGACTTTTTCTTTCAAAATATTTTCTTTTAAACAGAAGCATAACTAAAGCAAAATGGATGGCATCAGAGTTTACTTTTCTAAGATTCGTACCAGTTTTTCCAACTTCTGTACTAGTATTCATGTATGCAAGTCTAATGCAATTTATATGCAGAATGCAGAAGCCAATATAATTACCACTCCTTCATTTTGTAGCCAAATCAGTGTTAATTAAACAGGCTAATGTGTGAAAGGCTAGATAAAAGTTGCATCTTATAAAACCAAAGCAGATGTTTTAACTTATAGTTTTAATATAGCAATCAAAGAAAATTCCAAATACTGTACAGTGAAGTGTAGTATAGTACACTATATACTGTTATAATACACTATTGTTACATTACAGATAAAAAAAATCAAATATAATTAGTACAGCAATCACAAATAAAACAAACCAAACTGTGCTGGGTAACAGCCAGTACTGTGAAGATGGTATAGTTTCTATACTAATTTATTTTTAATTCAACATGTAAAGCACTTACTGTTTAAAAAGATTTGTTTTCTAAATATATACACTATTTTAATTCTTATTTATACATTTTAAATAGCATTCCCTCCTAAAAGTGCACTCTTTCATTTCTTGGCAATAATCCTCATTAAACGTAAAATAACTCTGAAAATACCACTCTTGTTTCAACCTTTTATTGCTCAACCACAGGCATAAGGGCTCAGAGGGAATCCTGCATTCTAAAGATCTTAAGCAACTTCTTCAAATTTAAGAAGCTAAACTGATATCCACAAGCAAAACAAATAACCACTTACTGCTGTGGTTTTTTTAACAGAAGGATCAACTTCTTCTTATTATTTTTATTTTTTTTTTTACAAAAGCATGTAGATTCTGCTATTTGAAAATGGGAGCCAAACAAATGTAGAGATAACAGTGGCATCTTCTTAAATTGTTCATTTTTCATACATTTCAGATCAAGCATCGCTCTCCCAATTGTAAGCATACTATGAACTTTATCACCTGGCGTTTTCAGCGCATTGAAAAAGCAGCAAGCAACTCTGCTAACCTTGTGACAGTGACACTAGAGTCTACTTTTTGAAAGACTGTAAATTAAGCAATTTGGTCTTGGAAGTATGCCTGCTGTACAGGGTTGTTAGCATACAGCCTGGTGGCACTGTGCCTCTGTGACACTGCTAGAGCATTCCGTCAGAGGCAACGTCTAGCTCACGTTTTCTATCTCTCAGGAGACTGGTAAACTCCACGGGATTCACAGAACCAACAATATACATTGCTGGTTTGTGACTGTATCAGTGAAGACATCCCAATTATATGTATGTGATTTCCTTTGAAAAGCTGCTATTTGTTTTCCCTCACTGAAATGCAAACAATTCACAGAGGAACAGCAGTATCAAAGAGTCACTCTTACTAAGCAGCCAGCCATTTGAAGTAATAAAAATCTCACATTTGCCTGGAAAACTGATCCATTCTCCTGAGGTTTCCCATATGCTCATCAGCAATCCAGTTCATGCGCTTTTTTTTTTTTTTTTTACTGGGCCTGTATTTTCAGTAGTCATCTCTCATTTAGGTTATGCATATTAAGCCATAGTAAAGTTTAGGATTTTCAAATAACTTAAGTCGTCTTTGCCATGAGACACTGCATAGGAGGTGGTTGGCCCCTAGGCAAGAAATTAATCAAGGCAGGTACTCCAAAATAATTTAGAACCACAGCCTGAGTCCAGAGGCAATTCAGTAGCAAGACATCAGGGGCTTGCTGAGAAAGGGACACTCTTCACGCCATTTGAGAAGTCCCGCTGATAGGGCTTTGCATCCATAATCAGTCAACATCTTCCCTGCCCTTGTACCCCACCACCATTTTCCTGACCCTAACAGGGAAATCAAACAAGCACATGGGTGCTCCTAAGACAGGCACACAGATGTGCCTCAACTTACATTTGCACCCACTGCTAGCAAGCAAATGAAACATCTGTTCAAACTTACACTTCAGTGTTCTTTATTTCACTTCTCCTGTACAGTTACACATCTCACCGGCACGTAGATGAAGTTTAGCTTCACTTGAGAGTTATCAAAAGCCGTCTTTCTCAGAAACACCGATATTTAAATGCATGAGAAAGCTACGTGAAATAAGAACACTGCAAAGAAATATGCACAATCCTGCTTTACACCAGAGAAATTCACATCAGCGGATCTTGTGATTTCGACACCTTTTTGCCATTCCTTTTTGAGACCATTTTGTTTTAGGAAGTGGAGAGTTCTACCTACATGACTTGAGTGGACCCGAGATGACACTAAGGGTGAGTCAAACAGAGCTATTATCTGTGTCTATTTCTATTTAGATAAGAAGGAAAATGTCAAATTACTGCTGAAATGGGAAGTGTGTCAAAATTAAACCAAGCCTTCCTCTTTACACAGTAAAAGGCACACAAAATTCTGTAGTCTTACCAGAAAGGCATGAAAGAAGTAAGCAACTTCCCTTGAAATAAAGATGATGTGCAATAAATATTTCAATTAATTTCAAACTTAAAATTCTCTCATATACACTGCCTGTGTTTTTTTCAGCTGAGGAAGACTTCTTTTTCTAAAGAAAAGGTTAAAAATATCTAAGTTATAGCTACCTTGTCTAAAATGGAAGAGATCCAGGAGATTCCTCCCCCTTAGCCTCTCCTGACTTAAACTCCTTCCCAGGAACATGCCACTGCTATACTTTTCTAAACCTCACACTATGACAAAGCACAAGCCTCTACTCAACATTTTCTATATAGAAGTAGCCTTCAGACAGCTAGACTGATTCATGGGAGACTAAATGTTTTCAGAAGTCATGGCAGGCTTCCAGCTGCTGCATGTGCATCCTGTTTCTCATTGAACAAGCCCTGCCAGTTAATCAGTGCATCAGCAAGGTCAGTTCTGGTGAGCCAAGTTACTTCATACATTCCAAGCTTCCAAATTGCTAACTTAGGGGTTAGCAATTTGAGATCTTAAATTTTTTTTCATTTCATTTATGAAAAGGTGATTCTTATTTATTAGCTATAAGTAGTGTACTAAATCAGAACATTTATTCCCTCTACGTAAAAAGTTAACCAACAGAGGCATTTTAATTCACTTTGACAAAACAGGGGCTATTCTTTAAGTGACTTGCTTCAGTTACTTTTTACATACAAAAATAAATCCTCCCTCCTGGGACATCTTATCATACTAATGCTTAGAACTGTTTAAGTGATTAGAAATGTAAAAAGTGAGGAGACTTTTCTGAATACAAACGTATACAATACAAACAACATTTGTGAACTGGTAAAAACCCACATGTGCACAAACACAGACTTCAATATTTAAATGCTCTTAATTCCTTTGAAGCTGTATTAACATCTTTCATCCATTCAATGTTATTTTACCATTAGAGGAAGCAACAATAGTGCACTTAAATATGACTATGAAGATAGGAAGCAAAGTGCAGTATCAGATACACATTCCACCCTTAGGGAGCAAGCGCAACGGCTGCTTCTTAAGAACTAGCACTGCAGGTCCGATGAACACGCTACTTAAGTGGATACCAGCTATATTATCACCGATGCAGGGAAATCTGCATCACAGACTGAAGTGAGGCTAATAGAGGTGGGAAGTCTTTATAGACACTGAAACAGCATGTATTCCTTGTTTCCATGGAGTAAACAGTGTGCTTCCAAAAGCTCAATTATCACTGCTGAACACTTTAAGATAATGTATGTTAGTCATTTTCTTCCAATAAATTGTTAATTTGCTTTGAAGAAGACAGCTGTTACTTATTTTTGCCATTACTAACCAATGCTAGTGATCAAGGTCTTTTAGAAGAAATGGATTTGCCATTGAACATTTGTTGTTCCTTGGAACTGCCAACTCCCTCTCTCCTGTAGTTGTATTAAACATTGCACAACATCTGACCCGCTAGGTATTTGGGAGGAAATAAAAACATGCTATCACTTACTAACAGAGCACCAAAATGGTTGTGTTGGCTCTGACAGCCATGCATAACCACACCACATTCACTTTATCTTCATCATTCACCAAGTAGCCTTTTTTCTAACTTGCTTAAACTGACTATATGCAGAAATTAGAGAGTTTACTAAAGGTACACTTACTCCAAGATTTCTGACAAGCGTATACAGCTGAATGAGAAAGTTTTTAAATTGGAGGAAGTGCCAGCACAATGTAGAAGTACTGTATATGCTGCATTATCAAATTTAGCAGAAGTTTAGTTTCAGTTGCTTTTTGAAATGTATGTATAATTCATGTTTATAGTGTATTTTTGAGTGGAATTAAGTACGTGGGACAGGATTAACTTTGTCACATTTCTAGTTTTGCCTGTTCTAGCCTTTCCAGTAACCTTAAACTAGCACGGTAAGAACCTTGCATGGGCTTAAACTTTAAGACTTTTAAGGAATTAAAAATTACAAAGAATTTTCAAGAACCCACATTTACAGCAGATATTCATCTCAGTGCATTTCCTAATAACTAATTTACAGGTAACAGAGCCAGCCTGGGCAGCAGTATGGTAATATTGAAAGCTATTGCCAATCACACACTTGCTTATCATGCACTGAATAAGATGATATAATCTTTGACATACATACAAGATTTAATAACTAATCACTTTTTGTGGCCCAGCCAATAAACATTACATTTGAACAGTAATTTCTTCTACCCTTATTAGATTTTAACCTATCAAGAGTGATCCATTGGCTCAGTTGCATTAGTGATTCCTGCATCTTGACTATCCATCTCCTCAAGCTCCTCAACAGAATTTCCCTTTTGTGCTTTAGACCTTGCAGGGAATGTTGTTCCCACAGAATTCACCATGTTACCATCAGTTGATTCGGTATTCAAGTGTTCAGTACCACCTGGTGCAGAAAACTGTTCAGGTAAGCCAGCCTGAAAGCTCCCAGTTTTAGCAGTTGAACTCACTGCCTCTACTTTTCTTTGAGATAGATCAACTGATGCTGACTGCTCTGTATTCTGATCCCGCAAATGTCTATCCATTGAAGCCTGAATGGAAGAGACCATTTCCTGCAACTTTTTTCTCTGTGCCTCAATCAAAGTAGGGTCAAGCTGCCTGCTGTCTCTCATTGTCACAACTCCTGGAGCAATTCGGATAAGCTCACTGTTACCAGAAGCAGTTGTGAATACAGAAGGCTCAATTTTAGCAGAAGGACTGAAGTCCGTTTCTGTGCTATGCTTTCTTAAAAGTGGTGTTTCCCTGGCTCTTTGATCGTGTTGTTGACTACTAGATGCAGTTCCTAGGGAATGGCCCTTTCCTTGAAATGCAGTTATGTTATGCAGTTGTTCAGATTTCTTTTTCACTACTCCACCACTACCCAGCTTCAGCATTCCGTGTGAAGGACTTGCTTCCCTGCTTCTTGAAGTAGCTTCTGCACGCACTTGACTTAAGGCCTCTTTCACCAACTCTTCAACATCAGGACCAATAGGAAAGTGCCCAGCAGCATCCACACACAGCTCTAATCTGTCTTCTGCTGCATTGTACACAAAGTTTTTACCAGGCAGATGTGGAAAAGTACAGTGCTTGCCATCAGCCAAACCTGTAAAGATAGAAAAAGTTATTCAAAGTGCTAACATATTTTAAGGCATGCTCTGAAAACACAGTAATTATTGTATTTAAACTTACTGCACCAAGTACGTAAAAACTAACACACTGAAACATGCTACTGTGAGAGAAAAACAATTTAGGCTTGTATGCCATATGATAGCAACCACAGTATACCCCTAAGATGCTGCTGCCTTCTATGGTGATTTTAATGAAGAGACAGGGCTGTAGTATTACTAGATAAAATAACAACCTTGCTGGGCTTGCAGTTCTAATATAACGGAAGTTAAAGAAATAGTATATGCTTGCAGTAACACACAGCAAGCCAAACCCCAATACTACCACCACCACCCCCTGCCCCAAAACCACAAAAAACCCAAACAAAAAACCCCTGGAAATCTGCCAAAGAGCACATTTCAAATCACTGCCTATTTGGAGAAGTACTATTTAAGACTACTTCCATACTAATTAGAATTGTAGTAGGATTTCAGAGTGTACAACTGCTGCTAAGCCTGAGGAATTTCAAATTTACTATTTGTCATCTTCTCAGAGAGGAAGTGTTGCTAGATAAACAAAAGTGTTTCAAGCTTACTATGTTTAGTAGTCCTGGAGATTATAACTATTAACCTTTACAAAACAAACATGAGGCATAATATTTTTGACCTGCTGTTTGTTTCATTGTCCCACTTACAACTTGACCAATCTGCTAAAACTGAGAGTTCACTAGGCAAATTTTAGTTCTGAGGCTGCTCTGTGTCAAAAATGGGCAACATTGGGTTTTTCAGTTTATCATCATAAAATACAAAATAACTCTTTCAACTCTGTCCCATACAGGTTGTGTTTTACCATACAGGAAAAAACAGTAAGGCATCACTTTAGTGACAATGGTTTTCTGTGAGTTAAAAGCTATCTGCAGATTAAAACTTGGTTGCAACAAATCTCTTCAGTTCTATCAGCTATGCAAGGAGAGCTACAATGAAAAACTCACTTTTTAAAAACTGCCAGGTAAATTAATGTGATTTTCCCCCATATTCTCTTACAATTCTTGAAGAAAAATACCAGAAATTATTCAGAAGGCAAGAAACGCAACAGGAAAATCCTATTTCTGCGTTACCAAATACAACACAGTCAAAAAAGTACTCTGGGCATCAATTAAAAAGGTCACTCAATCTGAAACGTTATTAAACCGGTTTTGTACCGATGAACCAACTGACCAATCTCACTCATGCTCCACAGGTTCTGATTCACACGCTTTTACTGTTGCGGAGAATCTATGGATGAGATTTTATTTTGAGACACATGGCTCCTTTCTTTACATATCCATGGGAACCAACAACCAAATAGCCAAAGCACACACAGAGCAAAATTTAACCCCAAACACCTATCTGTCTAACTTAGCCTGAAGAACTTTAATTTAATTAATTTACCAGCTCAACCTTCATTTGCAAAAGAGAACTATAACAGCTTCTATGATAGATCAAAACTGCCTCTGAAAATGCAATCTTGAAATCTCAAAATAAGATCTTAAACAAGATCTACTAAATCAAATTTCAGTTGATTAACAGTACCTAGACTTGACAGAAAGCTTTGTTCCAAATGTCTAGTATAATAGTTGCATTATTACATTAACTAAAATATTACAAATAGGTAAGGAGCTTAAGTGAAAAAAAATAGATGATTGCACGCTGCAATTGTTTAATGTGGAAATTTAGTAGTCCATAAAACGTTAAATCATACAAGTATGTTAACGCTGAAATAGTAATTTTGCCTACCAAGGTAGTGTAAAATACCTGCACACACAGAAATGCAATAATGTTCAAATACAGAATATCATCTCCTACAGCCTTAGTTCTTACATTGTCAGTTGGCAGAAGTGACTTTTAGGTCAAGCATTTTCCGTGAGTTAATGACCAGCTGTGTTAAGAACCCCTGGATTCATTTCAGGTTCTCAACTCTGGCTAGTCATTAATCAGTCCAAAATGTCCTTTCCATCAGGTACTGTTTAAGCTAATTCACTTGCCACAAACAATACACCAGTCTTTACTATACTAGCATAGCAAAAGAAAGAAAACTAAAAGGAAACAAATCTGCTGTAAGACACTTGCATGCTAATTCTATTACCCAGGCTAATAATTCAGTGAGAGGTAGTGGTATCGAGTATACCACGCATTTTAATTACTGCAAACAGAACAGAAATTACGTGGTAAAATACCTGTTTCTAGAAATAATCAAGATTAAGTTAAGCTTGTTAAAAGTGCCTTAGAAGAAATCAAACAGTAAGAAAGCAGCAAAGGAATCATTATTGTAGGTGAAACCACAAGAGCTAAACTATGAATGCACAGACTTCAATAAGAAAATAAACTTTAAATGAGAGAAAACAACTGAATAGTACTTTCTTCTCTAAAGAAACAGATGTTCATCTTTGTAGGTAGTATTTGTAAAACCGTCTAAAAGTCAAATATACTCTTAACTATTTGCTTGGTTATTCTGCACATAGCCCAAGATTAAACAGTTATCAATGCAAGAAGGGGATGGATAGCTTTGCTTTGGAACAACAGTCTTAGGAATATGAAAGACAAATTTAACCAACCATTTAAATTTAAAACATGCAATACCCCGTATAAAATATCTACTAAAAAAGCACACTAGAAAGATAACTGCTTATCCAGTAAGTGTTTTGAAGTATAACAGGAATAGGTCCTATGATCTTCTCCTTGTCTGATCTTTCGGGGGGGGGGGGGGGGGGGGGGCAACAAAACCCCAAAACAAACAGTTGACTTAGTTGACTTATTGAAGTTGTTTGTACAATTCAGGAAGTTTAAATCGAGATGTATGGTTTTAGAGAAAATCTCAGAAAAGAAGAGATTTAACTTGAATGAACTAGTCTTAGACAGATTCCCTAGTCTTAGGCTCTCTGAGGGAGCATAAGGAGTTCTACAATATTATGAAAATGTACTATGGTAATAAAGTAATAATATATTTAAGCTTTCAAGCAACTCAATACCAGTTTACAGTTTTAAAGATTTGAAAACAGAGGAAGGAAGGGATAAAAATAAAATCAAAAAATACCTGTGGTTTTCTTCATTATGCTGTAGAATACTCCGCCCTGCTGAAACAACTGAGGAAGCCCCTTAGCATAAGACCAAACATCTTCTCCTGTAAAAATCAAACATAATTATTAGGATTAAACAGTCTTATTTCAACATTATAGACAATGGATGAAAATGTAACTCTTTTAATTAAAAGCTGAATCTTGACTCTTCATGCAATTAAGAATTTGAATTTCTATTGCAAATTTACAGAACAGGAGCCCAGGACATTGAGAAACTTTCAGGAAAATATACCACCGTCTGCAGTCAAATATCCTACATGTTCTAGTACAAAGGTTCCCAAATTTTACTTGATCCAAGCTGCAGCTCCTGGTTCTTTGCCAGGCCCTAAACGAGTCTCCATTCCCCTCCTACCCATGCTTTCAACATAAAACTAGGAAATGAATAACACACTTCCAAAATTCAAGCACATTCCCTTGCACATTAAAACCTCAATTCTATATCCCTACACCTTCTCAAAAATCGGATCTCAACTTCACAGCTGCCATGCAGCAGACTTTCTACTGTAGCTGAGATACAAATGTCCACACAGGCAGCTGCGTAGAAGCTGTGTCCATACCTTGCTTTTCGTTAGAAACAAAATACCAACTGTGAGGCCCCAGCAGTCCCACGGAACTGGTATTTCTCAAGGATGCCATAAATGGCACTGAAATGCTACAACTTTAAATGCCATGAGAGAAAAAAGAAAAAAAAAACTAGACTATGTAAGGAAAGGAATATGAAGAACAGAAAAATTGTGTTACAGTAACAGAATACCAGTGACCTAACAGGACGTGCTAAATCAGTTCATATCTGCATTTTTACCTATACCCCCTTTTCCTCATTTTGCTAACCACTTACCTGCTTCAGAGAAGTGACGTGTGATGTAGCTGTCAAAGTAGTGCAAACAAAAAGCACTGATACATTCCATTCTCCCGATGCAGAAACAACTACTGCACATATACATTTTCAGAAAAAAATGCTTCATAGCAAACATTCAGGGAATGTACTGAGATACTTTAAATAGAAATCGCACCCTTCTTTAGGCATCAAAATCCCAATAACCACATCTCTCAACTTTCTCTTAAAATTGGAGAATGGAACTCATCAAGTGAAGTTAACTGGATGCACTTACTGCTTGGAATAGAAATGTGTGAGGCTGTAAAATATTACCCACCGATATTTCTTTGCTTGCTGTTAAGAGCAAAATAAAAGTAAAAAGTTACTTTTCATACCATCCACTTACTGAATACGGGGCACATCTAAATGCCTCCTTGCATTTCTTTACTACGTATCCCACAAGGTAACTGTGGCTATTCTTCTATCCTACCCACCTCAGGTAAAAAAAACATTTCACCCTCATGACAGTGGCATTATGTGGTACATTACACTCTGAAATCCTTCAAGTGACTCTCCGACTTTTCTGTTTCCCTTCCCCGACAGGCACGGGACTCCGTACGGTCCCCTGCTGATCTGTCCCCCCACCAGAAGGATTCTGTCACCCACCTCCCCACTTCAGGTGTTATTCAAGTCCCCATTTTCTATAAAAAGGTACAGTGCATCTTCGTCATGTTTTGTCTTTAGAAATTTTAAAGACAGGAGACCTATATAATTTGATTAATTTTAAATGCGTTCCCTTGAACCATATATGCTCTGGTTCCTTGCATTCATTTGCACATCAAGCTCACAGATTTGACCTTTGCTTCCTAGCAAGAACGTCCAAGTAAAACCAACTACTCATCTTTCTTATTTTCCATGATCTACTGAAGAAGGTCTTGTCTTTAGACTTTAACCTGGCAACTCTTCTCTACTGACTTGCTAATAAATGTGAAGCTCCTCTCCAGCTCTCAAAGACCCATTAAAGAAAAAAAAGTAAAAGGAGCATTCTCTTTTCCTCCCCACTATTGCCACTAGCTTTCCCCTCTTCTTCAAACAGCTGCATGGAGGGAGGACAGTTACTGCTGGTAACGCTCGCTCTCATATTTTTGCCATTTCAAAAGGTGTTCGCTGCTACCCTGCATCCCTGTTCTCATTTACATTTTGAAATATACATCCCTATACACAAAGGCTCCAGAGCATCACTGCTGTGGCTCTTCATTTTCCTCCAAGCAGCAGCAAGCTGAAGCCGTCCTGATGGTCTAAATACTGCCCACAGAAGTCAAAGTAACCGCTACACCGATAAGTAACAGATTACAGCTGTCAGTCCACAGAAGCCTGGGGAGGCCACAGCCAGCAGCCACACAGTATGGCTGACTCCATACTAAGGGCTCCCATACTGCTGCATCTAGCACTCCCTTCTTATTTGAAGGATTCCCTTCCCTTCCACAAGACAACCGCCAGGCTTTTAGAAGCAGCCCAGTTTTACACACTTGTAGCATTCTCCAAGGAAAGATTCCCTATTCACTCCAGGCGTGATTTTTCAAGCCTTGCACCATCGTTGTTTAGATAGCCTTTTATGCAACACTAACCAGGACTACGTGCAGAAAAGTATGGAGAGCACGGCTCACAAAACAAAAGCACCAGCCACTGAAAGAAATACAAACTAATTATGCTGTTTTGATAAAGAGATTTCAGATTGGAACACCGAAAAAAAGGACAATTACAACTGGACTTTCCCAGATCAGAGGAACTAGTGTGTGTGTGATTCAACTGAACTACATTTGAGGTTTGCACATTTTTGTTGCTAGCTGGGTTTTACTGTTTGTTTTGGTTTTGTTTACCATAATAGTAAGATGTTTATAGGTCACAAGTTAGTTTGGCTATCATTTAGTTAGATTAAGAACTCCCTCAAGACACTACATTTATCAAAGAGATGATATTCTCTGTGCTGTTCCCACTCCAGTACATGCTCCCTCAGACCAGACCTCAGCCCCACAACATTAAGGTATGGCAACAGATGAAGACTATGATACCCACAGGCATGCCTCATACGCTGCTGAAAAAGAGCAGGTGCAGACTAACCTATGCCAGTGGAAGCCCAAGACCATCACCTCATACAGCAGAGAGGACACACAGAAGTGCAAAACAAATTGAAAGCTCAGTTGATAAACATAGGTTACAGGGAACTACAGTAGGCTTAAAAACAAGCTGTTTAAACTCGAGCAAATCCTGGTATTAATGAATACATTTAATTTAAACCTGGATATTTTGACTTCTTGTGCACTGACAAATTCATCAATGCAAACCAAACCAGTCAAATAGATTCATACTTGGCTTGCATGTATCCAGAGTGCTTCTGCATGGGTGCCTATAAAACCAGTTTAAAAATGTAATGCTTTAACTATGTTAATGTAGAATTAACATTCCTTTAGTCATTTCCTTACAGAATTCTGTGTTTTGAGCTAAACAAAAATAGGGGAGAAAACATATTATGCATGTTTTTTTTAAAGCTAAGTTGTCCAGAAATTACAGTATCTAATTTCCCAAGGCTTATTTTTAAGTTATATACATAACAATTAAAGAATGTGGTCTAAAATTTTAGTAAGTTAACTCACTGAGACCAGAAAAGAAAAATTCTAGTAACTGACATAGGAGAGAAGAGCACCAAGTCAGCCTACAGGAGACCCTGTAAGGGGAGGGGAAAAAAAAAGCTTTTAAGCATCCAGAATGAATCGTTATGGATGTTTGAAGATACACTTTCACTTATGGGCATTGGGGAAAAAAAACCAGCAGCAAAGCGTGTCTGGCTCAGAGTTATTTCGATACCATCTCCCCTCTACACATTTTAATCTGACCATATTAGATGAATGCTTTTAGCAGAACAAAGTTACAGCAAGAGCATGCAGGATAAGATGACTCTCAGAACTTTGCAGCATTGGTTTTTAACAGTACAGAAACATAACTGAGAAACACTGAGGCTTCTTGTCCCAGAAAGGCTCAATATACCACCTTGAACAACTGTCACCCCAACACTCTTAAGTTCAAGGACTTAAAAAGTTTCTTAGAGTTTGTTTCCCCCCTGAGAAATCACAATCATAAGTAGTCAACAGTCCAGATTTTTTCCACAAAGTATCTTTGAAGGAAAAGGAAGCCCTGATGAGAAAAGTGATTATATAAAAATAGCATCTTATTCAGTAGCTGCATAAGTTGTTGTAACTTGTAGGTTTATCATTTGCTGACACTTTTACTTCTATTAGTAATGCAAAATGGATGCAGTCAGAGAAGGGTGAGGTAAATTCTATTCTAACCTGTGCTTTGAAAGCAGAGTCTGACAGCAATGAGACTCAAAGACAAAAATTGATTCTTGAATACAAGGTCAGCTCACAGTTTATTGATAAATACTTGTAAAAAAAAAAAAAAAGAGACACTTTAATGCTAAAGTCACTGAGATACAAAAAAACTCAGAAGTGCTTTAAAAGTAAGGCAGTAACTACATTTTCAGGAGTACTTCCTGAAAACAGTAAAGCACTCTTTCAAGCTTCATCTCAAAATTAAGACAGCTTTTAAACGAAACCTTTTCCTGCACTTTGGAACCGTGGTGTAAATGTCAGTGTGACAAGGTGGCTAGTGATTCAGCATGCTATCTTGCAGAGACATGGGAGTAAATAATCAGGCTTGGAAAAGAATCAAAGTTCTGCACGATGAACTTCTGACATACCACTCTGGGATTATGTAATTGTTTCGTTTCTCAAACATCACATGCTTTAGCCACACCAAATCCCTCCAGCGAAAGAGAAGGCTCCCACAAAAAAAACCCTGTAAACATTAGTATTCGACTGGTTCATAGAGCTAAATGTATGATAATTACTGTTTTACTTCCTGCCAGTAAGCAGCAAGAACTGTAAAACCTGATGAAGAAAGTACACAAAAGAAGGTCCATGTCTCCTAAATACAAATATGAAAATAAAAACCACAGGCACCTGAGAAAAGTCCTTTCATCTTGAATTATTAACAGTTAGTCAGATTTACCAGACATTTACACAACTGACAATTTATAAGCATAGCTTCGCAACCCTATGTCCACCTTTGGGATTCAAATCTGTGTTTAGCTTCTTTCAGTTTCTCCTCTGCTTGCATTATGAAATAATTCTTTTCACAGCTCACAGCTCTTTAAAAAAACAGATCTTCACTTAAAATTAGCAGATTAGCTAAGGGTATGATGTTATGTTGATTTGCTTAAACCCACACAACTCCCTGTGGGGAGAAATGCCAGGACTTTATCACTACAAAGGTGACAATTTGGTCCTCAAACTTCCAGTGAGCAGACATTCAACGTCCCCTTCTCACCTCTGCTCTCAATTTATTTCCTGAAACCTGAGGGAGATGTAGGAAAAAAAAGGAGAGCATGTAGCTCACGCACACACAAACATCAGATGTGTGCCTAGTGAGAGGAAAAACAGAGACAGAGGAGGAAACGCAACAACTTCTAAACAGCAATTTTTAAAAGAGGACTTTACAGCAAAGAAAGAACAAGTCTCTCATATACACAATTTTAGAAGTCACAACACTCAACAAACCACTGACAGCACGTTAAATTGTTCTTCTAATAAAGGAACTAACCTTCTCCATGGTTACAGAAAAGGAAAAAAAAAAAAAAAAAAAAAGACATGTATGTAACTACAGTTTGTAAAATGTTACCTTCTGCTTAAAAATACAATTTTAAAGTATAACTGCAAGTTAGCCTTACCCATTAGTGTTGCCAGAAGACACAGAGAATACATCTCCTTATCGACTTGCTCTTGCAGTTCCTTCGACGAGATTTTACTGGTCACAGCAACATCTTCATGCTTCACAGCATGGGCCGAGTGCGCTGAAGCAGACTGCCTGCTTTCCTCCTTACCTTTCAGGATTTCTATTGCAATCCTGTCACCGTGCTGCAAAGGAACAGGCTCGTTTTCCATGCCTTCTTTGGGAGGCAGAAGCTCTTTAGGAGGAAAGCCATAGCGAATACATTGCAAATACGGAGGAATATTAAATTCTCTCGCTATGCTTTCTTGTAGTTCCAAGAAGGTGGTAGTGCACTTTAGGGTAAGCATTGACTGCCTTCCATCATTTGTGGTTATTCGAATTTTCTTTTCTTTCGTAGACGTTGGAGAATACGGGGTTTTTGTTGGTGTAGCAGGTGCAGACGATGGCCCCTCACGAACAGCCCCAGGAGAAGCAGTCCTCGGCTGCCCTTTATGCTCTTGTTTCAATTTTTCGCTTTTCCGTTTTTGCATTACGGAAGCCTGATCTGCAATGTTCTGCTGAACAGTTCTTTCAGCTTTGCTCATATTCAACTCCTCCTTGTGCAAAGTTTTTGCCTTCTGTCCAGTCAAAATAATTTTGGTTGGAAGTTGCGACTCTAACTCTTGTCCTTGCTGTACATCATCAGCTCTTTGGGCGTGAGCACCATCTATATTTACAGGGGTATAATCATCAGGGTTCTTTTTGGCCGTTTGATGCAATATTGTGTTGACAACTTTCTGAACAAGAATCTCACTACCAAATTCACCAGGGAAGTGCTTGGTTACAAGTTTCATGGCGACGTCATACACATTGCTGTTCAGAGATGTGTCACTTTCATACTGGAACCAGTAGACTGTCTCTCTCACCACTCTTCCACCCCACTCTAGAGTAATAGGAAAAGCTTCAGGGAGATTATCGTATTCTTTACCTTCCCAGTAGTGCTTGAATCCACAGCCACATTTGCCACCTGTAGACCTAGTATTAGTTCTGTCTCCATCCAAATATGAAACAGATCCATCTTCTCTGACACGACGCACTAAGTTACCATGACACCAGTTACAAGCAGTCAAACTACTCAGGCTATAGTCTGGTACCAGCACATCCTTTGTCGGGTTGTAAGAACACACCAAACTGTTCAGGGGAAAACTATAATTTTTGTCAGGCCTTAGTTGGCCATGGGTACTTTTTGCCAGGTTATAGAGTTTCCCCCCAGGAGCCAGCCACTCTGGAGGAACGTGATGCTCTGAAAGGGCCCCGCAGATGAGGCACCTGTGAAGGCGGTTGTCCATCACTGCTTTTTTGGCAGCTGCAGTGACTTCTTCAGGCTGGACTCCTATTACACCAGTCCTTCTGTAGAAATACTGATGTACGTCGGCTACAAGGCTGGGATGGATACCGTGTTTACTCATGAAAACCTCCTCCATTGCAGCAACGAGCCTCATCAAGTACTTATCTTGCAAACTTCTGTCTCCTCCAATAACACAACCACCGTCCTCCTCTAACTTGATGTACTTTTTGATGAGGTCTTGAGGAACTCCCCAGGCTTTAGGAAGTAGCTTCCTAGGCAGTTTAGGTAAAGCAGCACCTTTTATTCCAACTAGAGGAATATAATGGTTACGTCCTGAGCTACTCCATGCAATGCAGATCGGCTTGTTCAACATGCCGTCTTTTCCCATGCATTTTTCTAGAGGTACCAGACCAGGGAGGAACGTCGCTGAATAATCTCCGGAGCTTCGCATTCCGCTCAAGGAGTCTAACAGGATGATAGGCCGGTGAAGCACGTTGGCCAGACCAAAGATGTGAATATTCCTAAGGCCCATTGGCACACCTTCTGGAGGAACAAACAAAGGGTCACATTCGTTGATAATGTCCTCCCACTCCGCTGCATCAATAAAGTCATGGAAAAGCGCTTTGTAGTGACTCAGGTTCTCCTCAAAATGCTTCTTCAGATTCTCTCGCAGAGCATGCCAGAACAGTTCCCTGCCAACCAGCGCCCGCGAGACTGCGTGGACGAGGCAGTGGCCATCTCCATCCACATGGACAGGAATGAGGCACTCCTGACTGTTGTTGGCCTTCTTGATGTCTTCCAGGGTGTCGTGCAGGTAGATGAGGCTGCCAGAGCGGTCTTTTCCGTAACCGATGGTTTCAACGTGCTCCGGCTCAATGAGGAAGGCGCGGTCGCCCAAGAGGGAGCAGTCAAAGATGTCTCCCTGGTTCATCTCCGTGAGGAGCTTGGCTTTGCCAGTTTGCTTATCCATACCGTAGCGGGCCAGGATGGGGGCCAGGAGCTTGCAGTGGTAGTTGGAGAGGCCCATGACTTTGACGAGCTCAGTGTTCCTGCGGGGCGGGCCGGCGCCGCTGACACCCAGCAGCGCGTTTCGCAGCAGGTTGTGCAGCACCAGGTCGGGGTCCGTCACCTCCTCCACG